CTATCTTTGAAGAACTGACTGGTAGAGGTTGTAGGGGCAAGATGAAGGTTACTGATCTTGCGAGTCCCTTCAAAGGCAACAATGGAAAAACGATATCTGAAATTGGAGAACATTGCTGACGAATTCAAAAAACAGACAAATGAACTTCACATAATTCCTATCAATTGAGGACTCCAATGACGTATTCGTTGGGAACAGGTTCAACAAAAGATAAATGCCAGAGATGCTGTCATTCGAGACTTCTAGGGCCATTACAAAAAGCAACTCAACATTTGCATGGTTCATCCAGAGAAGCCAGAGCGGTTCGACAGGTTATTCAACCGGTGACAGATAAAGGCAGAAGACTGGTCAACATGGCAGAATATGTCAGAATATTTTTGTTTCTTAAAAGATAAAACACTTTTGTCTCCAATAAGGATTATTTCTAATAACAGACACATTTTTTTATCAATGCCTCGAACATTGCATGCATCATGCATTCTTGCATATTTCACATTATTTTTCTTTCTTTTTATTACATTCACATGTCTAATAAAAAATGAGAACATTTCGATCCTATGACATATAAAGAGCTTTACCAACAGTTGTTTGACGCACATGTGGTGCACCATATCCAAAGAAATCCATGAAGCCCCCGTACCCAGGTATTATGATGAGAATGCTCGTTGTGAATATCACGGCGGTGTCCCAAGGCACACAATTGAGAATTATTACGCATTTAAGAGAGTCGTGCAAAAGACGCGTAACCAGAATTGGATCGAATTCAACAACTTGGGGGCATCCAAGTGAGGAAGATCATTTCATCATTTGAGACATTATGTTTGAGTTTTTTTATATATTTTCTCAAGTTTTCGTAAGGAATTTTAAATAAATTTATGTTACTTTAAAGATGACGAGCAATGAATAAAATTTGCAAACTTGCAATTCTTTGAATATCATCTGAATTAAGAAACTCTGTAAATGGTTCAAAATTATAGACCTTTGACGAAGTAACATGATTTAAAACAAGAACTTTGACCTTACCCAGAATATACACTCAAAACATCGTACCCTGCTCTTGCAATTAACCAATGTAACATTTCCTTTCATAAGGTACAGACAACATGTGGCATCATTTGCATATGAAAATTACTATACTTTTCGTTTAAGACGTTCAATGATGATCATTATCTTTATAGATGGAATAGTCGAGTAAGTGAATCTAGTTTAGGTCAGTTGTTTGAAAATTGAACTCTAAAGATGAAATTTTTTACTTTCAACAACACCTAGACTATAACAGGTTCTTCTTAACAATCTTAAGAAATTAAATCCGTAAAGCTGAGTTATTCCACTAAGGCAATTGGTTATAGAGGAAACTTGAAAGCCCTGGCCTTATGAGTAGATTACGTTCAAACCATGACATTGCTCGAATACTTGGCAATTCAGTGTTTGCTCCACTGTTATTGTCCGGCCGAAGACTTTGTGATGAGATGAACCCTTCAGTCATCTTGATAAAACTGATTATGATGTTAATTTGTCCCTCTAAAGCAATTGGTTAAACGCCCTGGCTTTATGGATTCATCTAGCCAGATAATGGGCAAATTAAATCAAATTTATCTAAACAATAAACTTTCGGTAATGATGGACTAAGGGAGTTAAAGAACACATATTATAGTTAATCTCACACGAACACTCAAGAATTTCATTTTTTATATCGATATTTCCACGCTGCCTTTGTTAGAGGAGCCTACAAATCTTGAACAAATGGAAGATTTTAGAGGACCGAAATTGAAGGTCTAGTAATTGATTATGTTAATTGTGTCATTTTTTCCGCATACAATTAAAATGCTAAGCCAAAGAAAAAACATGTTGCAATGACTGAAAAAAATGACATTTTTATGGCTAAAACCTTAGGTCAACCAAAGCCAACTCATCCACTTGAATATTTGTCAAAGAGCTATAACTCTGAAAGCATTAAACGAGCTATTGATTCCTTTGATATTCTTTGAACTCATGTTTATAATTTGATTTGATTTGATTGCGAGCCTGAATTAAGAGGCAATGTTTTACAGAATTCTTGCATTTTTATATCTTTTTCCCTCCTAAAATAAGAGAAATGAGAAAAACATTTTCAAACAGGATAGTCTTAAATGGGAAAAGTCTTGGAAGCTGTTGAGGCTCATTTTGCCTCCATTAAAGAAAGAACGAACAATGCTCTTGAAAACAATCAGTTCAAGAGACCAGATAAAACTTGTGACATCGTCAAAATCTTGAAAAGAAAATGGGGCATGGTCGATTCCAATGACAAGACTAGCAGACAAAAATGAGGCTTCATCCCAGAGATAAACAATAATTAATTCATGATGCATGCATCTTAGACATATTTAAGAGCATCACATTTATCATTTTTAGCATACATAATTTTTTGCAGCCTTTTAAGTCAAGTTTCAACTTCACGACGAAAGATCCTCGATTCAAAAACACATTCAAAAGTTGATGGTGGTTGTTAAACTTCACAGCGAAGAGGCGACTGACTGTCAACAAACAACTTTTCAGTTTTAGTCAGAGCCAATTTCAACTTCATAGCGAAGGATATTGGACTTGAGATAACACAAGCTCAACTTCACAGCGAAGGGGGGACTGACTGTCAACAAACAACTTTTTAGTTTCATTCAGAGTCAATTTCAACTTCACAATGAAAGATATTGGACTCGAGACAACACAAGCTCAACTTCACAACTAAGGGGCGACTGATTGTCAACAAATAACTTTTCAGTTTCATTCAGAGTCAATTTCAACTTCTCAGCGAAGGAGATTGGACTCAAAACAACACAATTTGCTCGAGAGTAGATTTCAACTTCACGATGAAGGATATCTAGCTCGAAGCCAAACTTCACAATAAAGGGGTCATCCACGGTTTCAAATTCACGGTGAAGGGAATCGTGTCCACCCGCAACATACAATACTTGGATTTCAACTTAACGACAAAGGATATTTAAGTCAAGGCTCAACTTCACGACGAATGGGCCATCCGCGATTTCAACTCCACGACGGAGGATATTGTACCCACACATTCACGATTTTAACTCTACGACGGAGGATATCGTGCCATTTGAGGCTCAACTTCACGGCGAAGGGGCTTCCTAGTTTCAGAGCCAATTTCAACTTCACAGCGAAGAATATTGGACTCAAGACAGCACAAGCTCAACTTCACAGTGAAGGGGCGACTGACTGTCAACAAACACCTTTTCAGTTTCATTCAGAGTCAATTTCAACTTCACAGCGAAGGATATTGGACTCGAGACAACACAAGCTCAACTTCACAGCGAAGGGCAACTGGCTGTCAACAAACAATTTCCCAGTTCCAGATTCAATTTTAACTTCACGGCGGAGGATATTGGACTCGGAACAATACAACTTACTTGGATTTCAACTTCACGACGAAGGATATACAATTCTAGGCTCAACTTCATGACGGAGGGGCCATCCACGATTTCAACTTCATAATGAAGGGAATCGTGCACACAAGCAACATCCATCTCCAGATTTGGATTTCAACTTCACGACGAAGGATATACAACTCAAGGAATGAGTGTCTATCAATAAACTTTCCAGTTTCAAATCCAATTTCAACTTCACGGCGAAGGATATTGGACTCGAAACAGCACAACTTTCATTGGATTTCAACTTCACGACGAAGGATATCCAGTTCAAGGCTCAACTTCACAACGAATGGCCATCCACGGTTTCAACTTCAAGAAGAAGGATATCGTGCCCAATGGATTGACTTAGTGTCACAACAAACACTATCAAGTCTCAAATCAAAGAGAACCGGACAAAAATTGGTTGTCTTTTTCATCTTTGCCCTATTCTTGTTAACACAAAAATGTGCAAAGAGGGGCAGTTGTAGACACCCGTTTTTGTCTGGGTCTACAAAAACATTTTATTATATTATATTTATTTATTATTATTATTATTATTATTATTTTATTATTTTTATAGGCCCCACACTCAACAACCCTAATTTAGTGAGATTCAAAAAATAAATCAACGTATTTGAGTCCTATTAAAACACTAAAACCAACGTATTTAAGTCATATTAAAACACTAAAACCGAAGCATTTGAGTCCAAGTAGGACTCTAAATCTGAGCTAAAAATAGGTTTCTTTAGACTATAAATAGACTCAAGCATCAAGAGGAAAGGACACAGAGAAAAACGTGGAATCAAAATCAGAGGAAGGGACAACGATTTGGAAAACCGAGGGAAGAAAAAGACAAAAAATAAGCGTGGAGGATCCAAAGCCAATATCTAAAAGCACGAGGAGTGGTAGAGCATTTTCATTGCAAATCCAGCCACTCCTCATGCTTTTAGATACTGGCTTTGGATCCTCCACGCTTATTTTTTGCCATTTTCTTCCCTCGGTTTTTCCGAATCGTTGCCCCTTCCTCTGATTTTGATTCCACGTTTTTCTCTGTGTCCTTTCCTCTTGATGTTTGAGTCTATTTATAGTCTAAAGAAACTTATTTTTAGATCATATTTAGAGTCCTACTTGGACTCAAATGCTTCGGTTTTAGTGTTTTAATAGGACTCAAATACGTTGATTTTAGTGTTTTAATAGGACTCAAATACGTTGATTTATTTTCTGAATCTCACTAAATCTGGGTTGTTAAGTGTGAGGCCTACAAAAATAATAATAAAATATTAATAATAATAATAAATAAATAAATATAATATAATAAAATATTTTTATAGACCTAGACAAAAACGAGTGTCTACAATTATTAGCATAATAAAATTTGTCACGTCACTGATTTTGTTTATTATTAACAAGTGATTAAATCAGAAATAAAATATAATTTTAAATATAATTTTAAAATAAATGATCAAAACAATATTAAAATAATTATTAAATAGTTAAATACATAGTTTACCTTAAAAAAAAATCCCCCCGGATGCACAACACACCAAGAAGAGAGATGAAAGTGGGAAGGCGGAGACGTAGGAATCAGGCAGCCACTAAGAGAAAAGCACAGGGATGAATGAGGTGGCATGGAAATACCAAATCCCGCCTAAACTAAACCCTGAACTCTCATTTGGGATGCAATTGAATTTCAATTTCCCCCTCCTCCAACTTGATAATATCTCCGCATTTCGAGTTTCGGCCCCTCATTCTCTCTATTTCTATCGCCCTTTTATCCTGTCCCTCTCCCTCTCCCTCTCCCTCTCCCTCTCTTCCTTTAACCCTAACCCTACCTCGTCACCAGGTATTCCCCCCTTCGATTCTCATCGTTTTTAACGAATTTCGGCGATTTTCTCCTTTTTTTGAAATAAATTTCACTGCTAATTTGCGATTTTAATTGCAGTATTCAACATGAAGGGAGGTAAATCCAAGTCGGATACCAAGAGCGCTAAGTAAGCCTTTTATCCTTTTTCTCTTGTCTTTTTTTGTTGTTGCCTTTTCAGATCGCGTCTTTTAAGAGCTCCGATTATGATGTGGATTTACGTTTCCTATTATTTGATTTTATTTTGTTGATTTGCTTACAGTCTCTCCGTGAATAAGAAACCAACCAAGAAGGCTGGAAAGAAATCGGGGAAGGCAGCTAAGGATCCAAACAAGCCAAAGAGGCCTGCTAGCGCCTTCTTCGTTTTCATGTAATCATTCATGAATCCCTGTTTTCTTTAATAGATTTGGTTTCATGCGTTTGCTTCCTGCAAAATTCTGGCGTTTATATTGAAGAGGTGAATTGAACTATTCTTCTTTTGGTCAAAGCAAAGTTGATCCTCGATGATGATTTTGCAGATTTGCGTTCGTATTTTTATCTAATTTGTTGATGTTGGTTTCGTGATTCAAGGGAGGAATTCCGCGAGCAATACAAGAAGGAGCATCCTAAAAACAAATCCGTTGCTGCAGTAAGTTTGGACTATAATTATAATATTCATGTTTTCTTACAGGCTCCTTTCCTTTTAGTTTTGTGTTTCTTTATTTTTCTGTTTGGTTTCAAATTCAGGTTGGCAAAGCTGGTGGAGATAAATGGAAGAGCCTGTCAGAAGCTGTAAGTATTTTGATATTTTCAGCGTTGATTTTTTTAATTAAATGCATGCAAGATGCATTCTGATTAATTTAACATAAACGATTATAGGAAAAACGACCATATGTTGAAAAGGCAGAGAAGCGAAAGGTTGAGTATGAAAAGAACATGAAAGCCTACAATAAGAGACAGGTAATTTGAAGTTAGTCTTTTATTTGATATTTGTTTAGTGATATAAAAGTTAACCTTTTTGGATTAATATTAGGCCGAGGGTCCCAAAGATGATGAAGTAGAGTCTGAAAAGTCTGTCTCTGAGGTGAATGATGAAGAAGAAGATGATGATGAAGGCAGTGGCGATGTGAGTTTTCTAATTTGTTTCTGTTTTGTGTTGTTACTGGTCTTATAGCTTATTTGGAACTCTAGTGAATTGGGTCTGTTTCTTTTCTGAAATGCAGGAAGATGATGATTAGGAAGATCCAGGGAGGTAGCATAATCAAAGTAGGCCATAATAGTGTTTTATCATCTTATGTTAATGCTTTTAAATGCACATTTCGTTTAAGGAAAATGTAACTCTGAATCTTGTTTGTTTCCTTTGACATCTTGAAATTAAAAGTTGTAGATGGGAAATTTGATGCTATATGTATTTTACATTCAAAGTCTTAAGATAGGTTAATCCTTTTGCTGAGAATTTAGTCCCTCTTTTATGACTTTGTTGCTAGCCCTTCTTGTTCATGTTAATTGTTAATATTCTATTGCTGTTTGCTGCAGTTCTTTTGGTTCATTTATTATTGTAGCATACAGCTTTTGAATAGTTTTCAACCAAAACTATTAACAATTAGTGATTGTGAAGTTTCATTATGTTGATTATTTGTTTTTAAGCTGCAATCAGAACCAATTTCCAAAGTTATAATTTTTTTCTATATATAGCTTATTGTTTTTGCAGTTGTTTAGGCTTTGAATTGTGAATTTTGAAATTTACTCCCACATGTAACATATAATAAAAATGTATCCTTGTCTGAATTGTGTCTAACATATCTTCGTAATTGACTGATTAGTCACTTTAAAAATTCTTCTGTATTGTCTTTAATTTAGTTGGCATTGTAATACTGCCACAGCTCTTCTTACTGAATCTGCTTTTGCCTATTAATCCCACCAGAAACTTGCTTACTGCGTTTTTTAATTAGGTTTTTGTGATCCCAGTTAATTATTGTCAAGATTTACGGTTCTCTAGAGTTTTAGTATCCTGGCAAATTAATGTCAAGGTTTTGGGGATTATCAGTATAATCTTTTACGGATAACGAGCCAATAGTTGTTTGTAGTTGGGTTGTCTTCCTTCTGATTCACAGGGAATGGGTCGGTAGTGTCCCATAATAAACCTTGGTGCTTTTTGAATTGCATTCCGTGCAATCTAACAATGCAATGATTTCAGATTGGTGATTTTGGCTTTTGATTTACCAGCTATATATATATATGTAACATTAATACAATCTTTTATGCCATCATTATCACAATATATGTTTGTGTAACAGTAATACAGTCTTTTGGTTGTCCTGATTATCTAGCAATTTTGCTTTTTGGTGTTTGCAAGTGGTGAGACTATTATCTAGTCTGTAAAATGTTACGACTTATGACATTTAAATTGTGATGCAAAGTTAGGGCACATGATGTCTACACTTGATCTCTGAACTTCAGGTAAGTTCATATGTTGAGAAGCATGTGTACTGGTGCTCTTTCAAGGCACCACATATTACAAATGAACATTTCTTTCATCTTCATAGTCCTTTTTTTTTCTCTTCCTCACTACTGGAAATGAATTCAGTGATCTTCTGTGTGCTGTGTCTTATTGTGCAAAACCTGAATACAAGGCTCACTTTTTCTAAATGAATTCAGTCATTTGCTTTGTGATGTGGTTTATGAAATTCTTACCCTGATATTAGATTTCATAAGTAACCAATTCATTATCATATAGTGGTATATTAATAAACCTTTCGTTAGTTTTCTCTTCAAGTATACGATGCTCTGTTGACAGATAATGCTTACTACGAAGAGTAATCAGTTGGCTACGAAACTACAACTCAATGCCACCATATACTATATAATGGTGTTTGTACGTAATTGGTAGTTATGGTTGATTCCTTTAATTCTTTAGGTGGTGTATAACTAGGGGTGTAAATGATTCGAGTTTTAACGAACAATGGTGTGTTTGTATCTGTTTATTTTTTAAAGTGTTTATGTTTGGTTCATGTTTGTTTAAATTTTTGATATTGTGTTCGTGTTCGCTTATTTATTTTTGAAGGTGTTCGTATTTATTAGTTTAATGTTTGTGAATGTATTCGTTTGATGTTTGTAAACATTTATGTTTGTGTTCGTTTATCATTCACGAACATGTTAATTTAGTGTTGGTGCTTGTTTAACGTTTGTTTATATGATAACACAATCATTAAATTAATATAGTTTATATTTAGTGAAAGTTTTCATTGTAAACGATGAAATCAAATTATTAAAGCTATGTCAATAATTTATCGTCAATCAGTAGCAAAATTTTAATTACCCAAATCTCCATTAATTGTAAAATAGTCTTGAGAAATACTTTGTATCTAACCAACAAAATAAAATTAGATATTAACCACAAAATCTCCATTAGTTATAATAGTCTTTAAAGCAGCCAACAACAAAGCCAAAATCAAGGTTCCTTTGAATCTAACCATAAAATAAAATCCTTAAAATACTATTAACCCAATATCTATATCATAGATCGAATAATCATAAAACTAAAATTAAATATTAATTCATAAAAAAAAACAAAAAACCAAGAGATAAAAATAAAATAAAAGTTATATAAACATGGATGTAAACTTTAAATCACAACAACTAAAGATCAAAAGTAAATAAATACCCAAAGAAGAAAATACTATAATAGGGGAAAAGAGACTTAGATGAGCGATTGAAATAAAAAGGAAAAAGAGCGAAAGGAAAAGAGATTTTTTTGGTGTTGTAATAGAGGAAATGGTAAAATTATGTCACTGGTGTTTAAGCTACTTAGGCTTCATTGTTTAAACTTTAAATTTTATCATATATTAAATTTAGTATGAACTTTCACCAATATTTAAAATGTACAAAAATAAACTAGTTTATAAACGAGTTTGTTCATGAACATAAGCGAACAAGTCAATAAACAAGCTTGTTTGTGAACATAAATCGTTTATTAAATGAACATAAAAATCATTTTTATATTGCTATTATCTAAATGTCAATGTGCAGGTAAGAAAGATGGGTAAATCTAAAATACTAATGTGAATAAAAGGGATGCCTTGAAGTGGGTAAATGTTGAATTAATATTTTATTTTGATATAACATGAATTATTAAATGATTGAATTTGTTAAAAAATTTATTTTTACGATTCTATTAAAATGTAGTCATAAAATATGTTTTTTCAAGTGATTTTTAATTTTGAAAAATAATTTTAAGTGTTCTTACGTTATTATGGTTCAAAATACTTGATTTTGGCCAAAAATCCCTTTCAGTCTCATGACTAATTTGCCAATACTGATAGGTGAGTATTGATACTCACTAAAACTATATCGATACCCGAGGGTTTCAACAACTATAATTTTGACCATTAGGATGTTTGGTCTCAGTACCCACTATTTGATATCGATACCAAAGTTGCATTTGAGCGTTTAATGCTCAAAATTAATGATTCCAATGGCTTGAATCAATCATCAATGACTTCAAACGATTATACAGGTTATAGAAGAAATAAAATGGACCAAAATTCAAATAGAGAACAACAAGAAAGATTATTGAAAGATCAAACCAACTTCAAAAGAGTTCTTGAGCTAAAATTGTCATATTTTTTGTAACACACTTGTGATTTACTTTGTTTAATTTTTCTGAAGTGTGATTTTGATGAGTGCTTATTGTTTTCGAACATATTTTCCTTTGTGGGGGTTTTCTTTTACTTACTATATTTGCATTTCATCTTGTGTAGAGAGTGTAAGCAAGGTTTTAGGGTATAAACCTTGTGTAAAGTTGTAAGGTTACATTGTATCCTTAAGGTTAGTAAATCTAGTGAATTTGAGAAATCCTTAGGGTGGATGCTAAGGAAGTGGATATAGACTTGGTTTAGAAGCTGAACCACTCTAAAAACGTTGTGCAAAGGTTTTATTTTTTGAGTTGCTTCCACCACTAATTTATAAAACTCAATTCACCCTATTTTGACATATTTTGATTGATCGATAAAGCTAACAATTGGTATCAGAAAAAGTTTCTATCGACAGTTTAACAACCTTGAGAAGGTCCTAATAGAGCGCTATCATTTTATACAATCCATCGAGAAAGATGACTTTAACCTACGGCTCATACTACATTAAAGATTCACAACTGTTAAACAAGATACCATATTTTAATGTGGAACAAACCATGCTTATTGGGAGAATAAGATGATGCTCTTCAGTCAAGCAAATGGTCTAGAAGCTTGAAACTCTATTATGAAGGGTTACTCTACTCCAACAAATGAGATAGAAGATTGAAATGAAGAATAAAAGAAGTTCCAACTCAACGCTAAGGCCAAGCACATTTTGTTTTGTACACTAGACCCGGTGCAAAAGTCTCATCATGTTCAAATGTCAAGGATATTTGGGACAAGCTCCAAGTCACTTATGAAGAAACCAATGAAGTAAGAGAAACAAAAATTGATCTTCTCAATCATATCCATGAGAATTTCAAGATGAACCAGATGAAAACATCAAAGTTATGACGAATAGATTTTTAGTGATTGTCAAAGGTCTCAATATATATGGAGAAATTATGTCTAATGAAAAGCTTGTGAGGAGGATGATTTACTCTCTTCCAAAGTCTTGACAATCGAAGAAGACAACAATCATCGAAGCAAAGAACCTAAAGTCTCTCACTCTTGATGAGTTTATTGGTTTCTTGCTTACTCATGAGTTGATGGTAAAAGAGGAAGATCAAGAAGAAGGAAATAAATAAGAGAAGAAAGAAAATAAAAAGCAAAGTTGGTGTTTCTTTAAGATCCTCTACACATAAAGAATGCAATTATGATGAAGAGAACGATGAAGAAGATGAAGAGATGTCCAAGCTCTTCAAGAGATTCAAACGATTCATGTGATGAAAAGATAAAGAGATGAAGCATGAGTTGAAGAAAGAGAAAGATCCTATCATATGCTACAGTTGCCAAAAACCGAGACATGTCAAGTATGATCATCCTCAATTAAAGAAGAAATGATCAAGTAAACAAATGAAATCAACACAGTCAATGGAATGCCTTCTAGTTTTTTAATTGATTGGATTGAACAAAAAGATTCTACTAATTTTCTATGTCTCTAACTCCCATATACATAAACACCAGCTCACGGTCTCTCCAAGTCCCCACTGAAACCAAAGACTTCAAAAATTCTCGACCACAACTCAAACAGATTCATATTATTACCACTGCCAGGTAAAATAAATGGATATACAACAACAGCCAGTAATCCCATGTAAGACACAACTTTAACATTACCATATCGAGTACTTACTTCTCTAGCTTTAGATCGCAAAGAACCAGTCAATTGTGTGGTTGATGTTAAGTTGGGATTGCAAGTTACCTAAGATGAAACAAAATAAACAAAAAAGGGATAATTAAATTGAATTAGCAAAATGGTTGAACACTTATATTTCATTCATACCATATATGTATATAATTGA